CAAGGCCAGCAGGGATTGAGGCCTCACCAACAGAGAGCACAATCCCTCAACACCCACAGATCCACAGATGCAGTCAGAAATTCAATGGTCGTCAGACAAGTAGGTAGTGATGAAATAGGTTTGTGGTCAAACTGCATAGTGGTTTAAGAGTTCAGAATCATCAAGATACAAAGCTGGATCCAGGTATACCGAAAAATCAGCTCTGGAAAGGATCTAGTTCAAAAGCCTAAGATTAAATGCAGCTTATGAGTAAATGAATGAAATTGTGGACACTCAGAGGCAAGCTCTATTTTCACAGTAGTATGAGCCAAGGTGATAGTGCTGGGCCACATCAGAGCTCACTCTGTACACTGACAATTAAACCTGTGAGAGGGGGAAAGTGGATACCAAGGAAACATGAAGAGAAAGAGAGTTATAGACTGATCAGGCCAATAAGAGTCCATTGATGCATTCAATGCCCTGACAGTTTCTCTTAATATTCCTAGTGTGTAATTATTCCTCCAGTCCAAATATCACTGCCTCTCTTATGGTCACAAAAACTAAAGAGGTGTTGATATTTTTTCCCAAATGCTTTCCACCCAACTCTTTGTCTTTGCTTATTTCCTTGAATCTTACCTGATCTGAAAACTGCTATATACAAATGACCAATGATTGTTTCTCCTATTTACTTATGAGAACAAATAGAAAAGAAGCTTCCAATTACTTGTTCAAAGTCACTAGCCTGTAGTTCTGCACCTTGTTCTGTGTACATATTCTAAGTCAGATGATGCTGTGGACTTTTTAAGTGTCACGAAGAATGAAATTCATACCACTGCTGACTGCATCACAGTCTCCCAGATTTAATTAGGTGACCTGACAGATAGTGCTGGAGAAATATTTTCTGCAGCAATTGATTCAAGAAAGACAAGTTCAAGTCTAAGGAAAAAAATCTAGATTTTGATTACAATTTAAGGGGTATCGATACAGGAAAGTTGTTTTGTTTCCAAATAGTTTCATATTCTGCCTTTTCTACCACTCATTCCCAGTCCTATCCTGATGAAGCAGAAGACACCACAATTTGAGTATCTAGATGTGCCTATTATGGCCAACTGGCAGGATGCTTATAAAATTTCTTAGAGTTCTGTCTAAGATAAAATTTGGATTTTTTTTCCCCAAAATTAGAAAAGTACAAGCTGATTAAAGCATTGTTACATTATTGGGCTTATAGGCTTGAATATCTGTGATGTAGTTGCTGTTCTAATTTAAATTTTTTCCTTAGTTTTTTTTTATGCCATATTAAACTAACTAAACATTATTGAATAATCAAAGAGAAAAATAATTATAAGTTGGGGATAATTGTCCCCTATGTTTTTAATGGACCTCATGGTAATTTTTTTTTTGGACTAATATTTGAAGTACTTTAACATAGTAGAAAATAGAAAACTGTTGAAATGTGCAGATCACAACAGAAAATGATAGTGTAGTTAATGATAAACAAATAGGATCTGTATTTTTCAGTAGGATGCACTACTTAGAAATGAATATTAGGAGAGGCAAATACAATGCTGTCTGCATAGGAAAAATAGTCTGAGTTACTCAGTAGTGACTGTCAGTGGAGGATCATCATAAGCAATTATAACACCTAAATTATTTTAACAATGTTGCAAATTTGGAAAACTCTGTTAACAATGAGGTTAACGAAATGAAAAACCCGAAACATTTAGAACCAATTCTCAAAATTACATACAGAGTCACAATGTTAAATCAGTCCATCGTCTATCAGTTTTCCTCAGAAGAAAAACAAATAAAACCAGTTGTATTTAAAATGTTCAACTCTTGGTAGCAAAAAATTTTGAATCAGAAGAAAAACAAAAAAAACCAGTTTTATTTAAAATATTCAACTCTTGGTAGCAAAAAATTTTGAAGCCACATTAGCAATGAAGAGATAACAGCATTGTGTACAGTTCTGAGCAGCTGCTTCTTCTATGCACTATTGATTATACCAGGAGCATTTTCAAAAAACTTTTGGTAGTATAATATGGTATAATGCTGTGTATCAGCAGTGCTCCATCAGATCAATGCCAGGTCATCTGTCCTGTCCCAGTGAATAACTTCACCAGACATTAAATTTCATGAGGATCTACTACTGTGGGATCCAAACCTCATAATTCCCACAGAAGGCTGAAGGCCTTTTTGTGGATTGCTTCTAGCAGTCTATAAGCAGAATCATTCCAATGATTTTTAAAGGTTAGGAAAAGGAATATATTTCCTGGGGTTGCCATGAATAGTGAAAGCATAAAACCCCTCCACTTTCTTTGGGCTCTGTAGGTCAAATATATGATGTTTACTTTGTTAGCTGTTTCTAAAGCACAGAAAGATATGATTGAAGCCTTGACTCAGTTTAAGAAATCTGGATATCATTAGGACATATAATTTTAACAGGTGACAAACACAATGTTTGAACATAATGTGTCTTCCTCTGTCAAAAAGATACTGCTATGTAAAATCCTATTATTTTCTATTAATTTGTCAATTATTGCAAGAACTCTGCTATTGAATTTCTTCTGCTTTGCAGCTGCAATATTGGAATCACTTTTTAAAATCTATATAATCCCTGTTGAAGTTATGAGAAAAATATCATCTAGAACTTTCTTTTTTTATATTCATACCATAGTTAATGCTGTACTGATTTGTCAACTTTATCATAAACAACTCCACCTACTCAGTATTGAAAGATGGAGCCACTGTTTCAAGAAAAAAAAATTACATTAAAACAGGTTTAGCATAAACAATACTTATACAATTACTGAAGTGTGAACCAATTGCAGTTTTCACCAGAAGTTTATGCAATAAAAATATTCATCTATAGTATTTTAACAATATAAAAAAAATTTGTCCACAGATGCATGTTTCAACAGGTTTTTCTGTTCTCACAACAGCCTTTATATTTCTTAAACTGATTTCAGAAATGAAAAGTCAGTGTTCTTTTTTTTTGCAGTTGATAGTATTTCCTCAGTGTCTTTAATCTGATTGTCTAAAACTGTTTATGGCTATAGGTATCTGTTATCGTTATCTCTACTGGCAACAGGGAAAAGAGGAACAATTCCCATAGGAGAAGTGACAGGGAAGAAAGAGCTGTTTGTTTCATGCTAATCATACTGCTGCCACACACTAACCAGCTGGAGGAATGTAGTGATTTGTGTAGACTTCTCCCAGTGATTTAGAATAGCCCCAGCAAAGCCTCTGGCACAATACTGAGCAGTAAAAGCAGATAAAGAGGACATACAAACAAGAACTCACCTGGAGATGCAAAGATTCCCTCTAGGTCCCAAGGGTGGATCAAGTATCTAACTGTCTATTTATCCACAACAAGTAGCTTAGGTCATGGCAAAAAGATCCCCTGGGTTTTTTTCTTGAATAATTAGGATTAAAGTAAAAGACCAAACCAAACCAAATAAAGATACTGGAAAAAATATATTGAACTAATTTAGTGTAAATTGGACAGAGCTGTCATGTATTGGATTATGGAAGCCTGAAAAGGAGTACAATTTCTAAAGCACAACAGTGGGAAAGTTGAGGGTATGAAGACTCAAGATTTTGACATACCAGCTGTCTTTACTTTCTAGGAAAAAAACCACTGAATTACATAAAATGTGCAGATTTCACAGGCCAGTTATGACAACCTATAGAAGTCCTTTTGAGGGAGAAGGTGCAGCCCTACACACTCTCCTACTTCTGCTCTGCCATACACTTCTTATGGAAGGACATGAAATAAAAAATGTCTTGCAGGGTGTAAAAATGCTCATTCAAAAAATTATTTATTTTGCCTAGCAGCTCCTTACTATGCTACGAGCAGCTATCTTTCAATTTATATGATCTGCATAATGCATCCAAGCCCATTTTTGTCAATAAGGCAATATCCTAACAAACCACTGGTTTGTGCAAGGCTATGAGCTTACAGCTAACAAAGGAATTGAGTTACATAGGCACAAAAACTGAAGCTGAAAGATGAAGTGAAAGCAATGCCATTGTAAGGTCCATTTCCATTTGCCAGCACTACATTTGAGACAAGGTCTGAACAAATGATGCATATTGCCTGAATTGCAGAGCTGTGTTGGCAAGCAAATACACACTAGAGCAGCATTAGAGAAAAAGACAACAATCTGTGTTATCATTCTGGGTTTTACCATTACACCTACTGTTGGCCATTCAAAGCAGATATTTAAAATTTCTTTGAGATGCTGTACTGACACTTGAATGTGAAATTTTATGTTGGAATCATTGTCAATGGATGTCCTGGTGCCTTCCAAAAGAGCAGTAGGAATTGCTGCCAATTTCTGGCTAGTGTTCATACAGTGCAGTGGAAGTAGATTGTGCTGTTAAGTGTGAGTGAAGCTAAGTAAAAAGAAGCAATGATTTTAATTTCTACAGGTAATTTGCCTGGGGAGCACTGATTAATGAGAACAGGTACCCATATGCATTCCCTTCATAAAATTGTTCCCTTGACACCCAATTTTTGCTTTCCTATGCAGACATGCATTGAATACTGTTTATCAAATAATATGAGCCACTGTTACAAGATAGAAAAATTAAGATAATAGAAGAGATTGGTATCCAAACCCTTGCCCTGCAGATGGCTCTGTGGCTGTTCATGTTGTACTCTTTTGATTCTTTTTCCTCATATGTATATATCAAATCTTTTATATTTGGAGTTTTATGGTGAATTTGAGCTACTTCAACAATGTGTACACCAAGAGGATATATGGTTGATAAAGTAAATTGTGAATATAAATGAATAATCAGTAATACCATGGATCCCACTGTTGTAGATTTAGTAAAAAAAGAACAGCAAATATGTTCTGCCCAAAGATTACTCTGTTCTCTGGCAAAGCAGAGGAGACTTCATAGCAACAGAAAAAAAGGTCTTCACCAAAGCTACTAAGTTCCTTCTGGGAGGATGAGGGAAGAAGGAGAGAGGAGTAAAGCTCTATTTCTGCTGTTTTTCCCCATGTCAAGCTGTATGGCTCACCTTCAACAGAACTTGTGCAGAAATTGCAATCAGGCAGACAGAGCTCCAAGCTTCATCCCTACCAGATGAGGTTTGCCCTTGTGGGTGTGGAACCAGACCCATCAGCCAGCTGTCAGGCTGGGAATCAATCTGCTTCTGTTCAGAAGAGTGGTGACCAATGCCAAGCCCCACAGGCCTGTGGTAAACCCTGTGCCAGGTTGAACAACCTTTGTGGAAAGTCCCTGGTCCTGCTCCCCCTTGCAAGCTCTTTCCTGAGGACCCACTGTCAATCTGAATTTTTTTTTTATAATACTTTATCCTTAGAAGTCTGTCTAAATTTATAACCCAGAAGTAAATCATCTCTATGCAGAATGAGCAATAATCTCCAAAATGGAGCTATGTTATACTGCTTAGATCTCATAGCCCTAAGGAGGCCTCCAATTTTTTCTTAGAGAGGTCATTTGTATGTATTGCATGAGAGGAGACAGAAATTCTAGATCACATAGCAAGAACATAAAGGAAGTATAGCTGAGAGTCAACATCAACTTGTTTAACAAATTCCATTCTTTAAAAAAAAAAAGCCACTAGGGCTCTTTTAAAACCCTCTTCACTGTATCAATCACTGTTTGTTTTCTGAGTATAAAAAAGCCATAAGGAAACAAACATTTAATATATTTGGCATACTATATATTAAAGCAGTTGGTTGGAGCGATGAAATTGTTATGAATATTTATAACAGCTCTACTAGCAATGCTTGAAGCAATGAAAATTGGCACAGCAAAATCTACTGCTCTCAGAAGCAACTTTTATACTTATGTACAACATAGAAACCCGATTATTGTCATTTTCCTTTTAAAAAAAAGCTACAGTCTCTCCTCCTGTGCCTCCCCATGGACTATGTGAGCATTATAGCCTCATCTCTGTGAAGCCACTTTGTCACTATCATTAATTCTACTGATGTCTCTCCTGTGTTTGTCCTTCCAGCTGACTGTTCAAAACAGCAGTAGTTCATAGTCAGATACTTCCATTAGGGGCTAGTTTTACACAAGTTAATTAGTCAATTTTCTTTCACACAGTAGCAGTAATTCTACAGAAGAGTTCACGTAAGTTTTAAAATGTCCTACACGGATTTAGCTTCTTCAGGGTTTAATTTGAACTTTATTAAATCTTCCTTTTTCTGCTATTCTTGTTTTATTGAAATAAACAGCATCAAAGCGCCCTAGGTATATTTTATATGTGCTGTCAATTATCTCTGAGCTGTACAGAAGTTAATAAACAGTAGAAATCTTAATGTAAAAAACTAAATATTCTGCTTTTGAAGACTTAAATGAAGCATATTTAATTAAAACTCTGATCATGTAATACTATGATATATCTTTATACAATGTATCTTAATTGATATACTAGGGTAGCATAGAATTAAATATAAATAGACAATAAACCAAACCATATATAACCAATAAGAATTTTCTATTTAATTTTTAAATTAAATTTCTGAGAAGTTAAAATCAAGCCTGTGCTCAACTTCTGACCACTTTTCAAGGACACAGGAATTCCCTGAATCTCTTCTTTACTGACTTCTCTATCTAATAAGGAGCTGTCCCTTTGAGATAAGGAGAATGTCTGTGGAAAGATTACATAAAATTCAGTCAGCCAACTCAGCACTGTGTATTTCTGAAGTACAGAACTTCTAATACTTTTTTAACCTGTTTATTAATGCCAGTGAGATCAGACACACATCCTTCATGTGCTGTATACATTTTGGGGTGTCTTCAGCTGCTGTTTCCAATACTGTAGAGTAAGTTTCTAGTATGAGCTAAAGCTTCTTGCTGATTGTTTTCCATCCTTCAGTATCTGCCCTTTCTTCCTCTGCTGCCAAAAGCTAAAAAATGTTCATTCTTAATTTCCCCTAAGTTATAATTAAATATTAATAAAATTTCATTATTTTATGAAGTCATATGAAAAGAGAGGTGGCTCCTGCTCAAACTACACAAGAGTCAACTCCATCTTCCCCCTTCCTATATGCAATATACCTGGATAGAATTTTAGTGTCTGTTTTATCACCTATGTCCACCTGAGAAATGAAAGAATATAATCTCTATCAAAATTAATTAATTAATTCAAGCTATGTTGTTTTTCTGCCCTGGGCCTTAATACTTTAAGCACATCATAGACTGGTTTGGGTTGGAAGGGATCTGCATGGGGAAGATCTTCATACTTTTTATAGTAGTGTCACATTTAATCAAACATAACATCAAGGACATGGAGAATACACAGGCAGTGGAAGGTGTTTCTGGAGATTAAGGGGAATGAAATCAGGAAATGGCAGAGTTGTGTCTGGGTATTGTCACAAGAGAGCGATGCAGGGATAAGAATTTTGAAAACAGGGACTAAAGAATATATAGCTGCTGGAGAACATTGTGTTCTTCCAAGCCCTGGGAGGGTAAGTCATATGAATTGTGTTGCCTATCATGCTCTTCTTATACCTAGATCACTCAGGAGATGACAGTCCATTTAGTTAGCTGCTGTTTCAATAGTTCAATACAGAGATTTGCACCGTGGGATTCCCATCACTGCAATTCTCTTCCAGACTTCACCTGACCACCTAAATACTGTTAATTTTTACTAAACGTGTATACCAGTTAGGGAATCAGAGATCATTGTAGTGGAAATGTTTAGGAGATTGATATGTCAGGCCAGCTTTAAACTTTAAAACAAGCTTGAATAAATTACTTCATAAACAGCATGCTTAATCCTACTAGTTTTTACATATTATTAAGCACACTCAGTACACCTACATACTGTTATTCTGTAACACTTAGATTCTAAATTATCTGTGCTCACACAATACTATGGAGCTGATGCTAGTGCTGATAGCTATGGTCCCTGGTGGCTCTTAGCTCCTGAGGTTGAGGTAATCTGTTTTGTGAGCAATTTGATGAGAGAAGTCATTACTGAATTGAGCTTGTCATCCCCCACCCTAGTCTCAAAAAAAGGATGGTCTCCTCCTGTATTGCTTATGCTGGGGCTTTTTGTGTCCTGACAGTCACTGTGTCATGCCTATTTTCTATGCCTTTTGCTAATCTTGATCTTTGGCCACTTTCTTGTTGTATGAGTCACTGCAACACATCTCTCTCCCTTCAGTGGTACACATTGTACACATACTCATGTAAAATGCTTATGCATTTTGCCTGGCTACACTATCACAGTGTTCTAAAATACTTTTATGGTACTGTTGACTACATTGTTTTATTGCCCTTGTAATTGGATTCAAGGCAAGCTACTATTAATGATATTTGATCAGTGCACTTGTAATGTATAGGTTTCGTAGGACTCTATTGAGAAGCTAATATAAGCTTTGAATCTTCCCTTTCCTCTGAAGAAATAATTTTGATTTTTATTTTGCTTAACAGATAGGGTCAGAATGTGTAACAGAAACCTCATACAACTTTTTCTCATTACTGGTTGACCAGCAAATTTGTCTTGCAGGTTGTGTTAGCAGCCCTGCCTGATTTCTGCCTTGTCTTCAGGTCTTTAAAATCCCTTTTTGCACACTCAGTTCTTCTGTTCCTGCAGGCAATTCCATCCCTTACAGCCAGTAATTATCTTCCTGTTTCCTCCAACTCATGAGTCCTCTTTTCCCACATATTTTCTACAGACAAGGTAGATGAGTTCTGCCTCTCTCAACTGTTTTATCATCTGCAAATACAGGCATGAAGAATAGCCTCAGCTGGATGTAACACTCTGCATTCTACTGTACTTTTACTTGCTAGTAAAATACAAGACCCCAAAAACATTCTACTTTGACTTTGCATTTTCATTTTGTGTTTCCTCTGTGTTTGTTTGCTTGTCTGTTACATGTAGTGCCTCTGTGCACCTGGATGGACAGGAGAATTTTGCCAATTTGCTGAAAATGCATGTTTAATTTACCCAAATAGTTGTTCTGATGGAGCAACTTGTGTCGACATGAGCCAGATGAGAGAACAGCCTTTGTTCCAGTGTTTGTGCCCTCGTGATTTCACAGGTAAGGCATTTACAAATCATGTAGAAGTTTGTAGTCTCATTTCCTTTTAACTATTCAAGTATAAGAATGTGGTATTTTAAAATAAAATAATTAATAGAGACGTGTTTAGAGGAGTCATCACACCTCTCTGCATTTTCTGGCCTCTGCTGTGGTGTCTGCAAAACCTAAATGGAATTTACAGGTTACTTTTGAATCTTCCAGTTAGGGCTGCAGTAAGAATAGACCTAGAGTAAGCTTCAGCTTCAGTTTAAGAGACTGTCTTTCTATATATATAAAACTTCTGCATGTGAGCTAGGTGTTCTCATAGTTCCTAGACATCTAATTATTGAAAGCAATGGAGTCCAGGAAGGTTTTTAGTTTGTATCAGCCTATATTTGCTCAGATAACTTTAGTTACTTTCTGAGAGCTGAATCCACCTCCTATTTTAATCCTTTGGTGGAGCACCAATGATTTATGGCATTTAATTTGGTGTGGGCTTAATTGATTCACTTTACTTGACTAAAGGAATATGAGACCTAGCAAACAAATCTTCAAGGCTCTGTGTATCATCAGTGAATAAATTTTGCAGAGTGGAATTAAGACACTTGTGTGAGACTTTTGTTAGTTGTTGATACACTTTCTTCAGGAGTATTTCTCTTTCAATGAGATACAGAAGAGACCTAGAAAAATAGTTTTTAAAAACCACATGTTTTTTAACTGGTAAGGAAAACAATTTCTAATTTTTCCTCCAGCCATACCCTTAAATAGAAGTTCATTGTAGCTGGATTGTAAAATTCTTCACTAATCTTTGGCTAGAGAGAGAACTGAAATAGAAGCATTGAATGTGATTCACTCCAGTTTTAGGTAACATTAAAAAAAACAGATATTAGCCATATGTATATCAATGTATAATTAAATGGCAGAAAATATTAACAGAATTTTAAAACAACAAATTGAAATATAGAAACTTCATATTTATTACCTAAAGAATGAAAATTACATTAATCTAAAGAAGTTATAATAATACACAGACAAACCAGACTTTAAATCTACTACCATTGAAAATGAAATCATAGAATAATATCACAAAGTTGTAACTATCAACCTGTCTTTTCACTTCTGCCTTATCAGCTTTAGGATTTTATTTTTTCAATCTGAACTTTAGGGATATTTTATTTGTGTGACACTTAAAATTATGGATTTTTGCATAAAAGTAAAGTTATACTACAATACTTCAAGGCATTTGAGATAATTTAAGGTCTCTAGTGAACAATATGATCGTGAAACAAGTTTGACAGTCTAAAATAAATGACAAAAAAATGTGTGCAACTAATACAATTAAACATTACTAAACACCAAGTTATGACTGGATTCAAGTGGAAGTGAGTTCATCATTCAGGGACATCTTGCTGTAAGGTCAAGATCCTTTCTATTGTGGGATCTCATTGTAAGAGGTTCTTTATAGTGCAATAGATTTTTTTGTAAAACTTTTTTAAAAAAAATACTAATTTTCTACTTCAGTCTCCTTCCACAGAAATTTCCATTTATACCTGTTTATTGTTTAATTTATGTGTTTGAGAAGGGAGAGAGGAAAGGACAATGCAGTAGCAATTTTGGCATGTTTACTTGACTCTGAATAAAATAGCTTCTGCAACCAGAAAAACTATTGTAGTTTCACATCTAATTGTTCCTAATTGTGTTTATAAATTATAAACACTACAGCTGTAGCTTTTGCATTAACATTTAAATCATGTTTGGAATAGACTCTTCTCAGAGAACACAAAATATGACATGTTGTAACACTCTCAGCTGTGAAAAGCAGAACTTTGATTTAAAAAGTAATAAACCCATTTCATTTTGGTTCCATGCTCTTTAACAAAATCTTGTAGACACTTAACATATACACACAAAGGCAATTCTAAACTACATTTTTTATTCTGTTTATATGTAAAATACATTTTGGGTAGTTTACTCAGAAAGATATCCCTGTGTTTGGTTTAAATACTCAAAGGAGAATAATAAAGGATTATAAAATAGAGTTATTTTTTGTTGAATAGATGCAATGATTTTTGTGCTTTCAGTTTCCTTCTACAGTTAGTTCCTTATTTCCTTTTCATTTTTCTCTTCTCTGAAAGTGGATAAAAACCATTGTAACTACAACAGTGCATGTAAGTAACATGACACTGAAACAATCCATATCAGCAGTTCCTCAGGTTTTGCACAGTAGACCAATTGTCCTTGAATAAGCTTCTTCTAATTTATTACTATCTTTCCTTGTGTGTAGAGCAATCATATTGGCAGGAATTGACTGGGCATATTAGACACTTCATTTAGTTAGGAGAAAAGTCTTTTAATTAAAATAATCTTGCTGCAGCTAAAACGAACTGAATCCAAAGAAAAACTCCCCAACCAGAATTTAAAGTACTACTTCAATTACATACTTTTCCCTCATCTTCAAACATTCCTAAGACTCCTTAAGATTATTCACAGATTTATCCACAATTTATTTTTCTCTTTCATTGTTTTATTGAGACAGTTCTGCTAATTTCTACAGGTTTATGGGAAATGAATATAAACATCCTTTGATGAAGCTTGAACTATTGAACTGTGGTTATTTGAAATAGTATTCAGTGGAAAGTATCTCATAATAGCTAATGTCCCAGAGAAGATGATGTGGGATAGAAAAGTTCCTTTATCTTTCACGAGCTAGTTGAGACAATGTTTATACTAGTGAACAAAATAATTAAAAGGCTTAATTTAAATCATTCTGTCTGGTCAAATCCACATTTTTTTAATTCTTTTGTTCTCCAGAATACCATAGTGAAATGTTTTAACCCTAGTGGGCAGCTAAGCACCACACACCTGGTAGTTCACTCTTCCCCAGTTGGATGGTGGAAAGAATCAGAACAGCAAAAGCAAGAAAACTTGAGATAAAGACAAATCATTAGATAAACCAGAAACTTCACATAAGTGAAGCGAAAGAAGGAATTAATTCAGTATTTTCTGTTGGCAGATAGGTGTTCACCATCTCTAGAATATTTGGGGAGGGTCTCTATTTCATATTTAAGTACAGTGGTGATCTCATAAGTCTCAAAACTCCAATAGATAAAAAGAATAATAATATTTTCTTCATAGCTCTATTCCCTGTACTAAAAGTGAGCTTGTAAAGAATTTTTGTAGCATCATGGGAGGTCCCTATATCACA